ATGAGGGATGTCTGGGTGGAGCTCTCCAGGTGTGGCCCCGGGACCACAGCATCACAGCCCCCGGGAGCATGTGACAGAAGCAGCCAGGCTGCCCCAGACCTCCCTAACCACGGGCAGGATTCAGATGTGACCCCTCACGTCACAGGCTGTAGCCCGAAGATTATGGGCTTGATGCCCAGGAGAGGAGTCCAGATAGGAGCTAGAAGTGTGGGAAGTGTCAGTTACCAAGCATGGTTGGAGGTGACCCACTTCCAGGGAAGTGCAAAGCTGGGAAGAGGGGGCCAGATGTCACAGAGCTGCTGGGCACGCTTCAGGAGCCCTGAGTGATAGCCAGGCTCTTGGGAGGAAAGGACCATTTGCAGCTATTATGTCAGGAACCAACAGTTTCCTCGGACATCCACTGGGTGACCTGGGTCTGGAGCCTGGTGACATCAGAACCCTTTGGATCCACTATCGTGAGCTTTGTTCATTTTTGTTACAGCTGGAAAATGTGAACAAATAGGAAAAATAATCGTACACGAGCCTCAGTACAAGTCACCCAAGAAAGGGTTTTAAATATTGAAACAAATGATAAAAAACAAATGGTAAGAACTGCTTTCAGACTAAAAAACTATATTCCTCTTAGTAATCTTGATTTGATATTTACAGCATGTTTATAAGTAAATAAGATGGGAATTACTTGTATTCTCATCTTTAAAAAATATCAGCTTTGAGATATAATTTACACACCAAAAAATTTACCAACTTTCAGAAGTTTACATATATTCACCAAGTTGTGCAACAGTCATCACTGTCTATTTACAGAACATTTCCATCTCCCCAAAAAGAAACCCCACCCCTTTTTCCTGTCTCTCCACGACCCCTGATCCACTTTCTGTCTCAATGGGTTTGCTTGTTCTAGAGCAGTGGTGGTGAACCTATGGCACCTGTGCCACAGCAGCTGTTTGTATCATTGAAAGCTCTAAAAGGTTCGCCATCCCTGTTCTAGACATTTTGTATAAATAGGATCATGCATCGTCTCTGGCTTCTTTCACCTAGGGCATTGTTGAGGTCCACCTGTGTTTAGGATATATCAGTGCTCCATCTCTTTTGGGACTACCTCATAGTCCATGCTAAGGGTAGAATGCGTGTTATCTGTACGTCAGTTGGGTGATAGGCATGTGGGTCGTTTCCACCTTTTGGCTGTTGTGATTAACGCTGCTCTGGGCATTCATGTACAAGTTACTTGTAGATGGATGTTCTCATTTCTCCTGGGTATGTACCTAGAAGTGGACTTGCTAGGTTGTAAGGTAAGACTATTTTGAACTTTTGAAAGAGCTTCTGGGTAATTTTGCAAAGTGACTCTACCAGTTTACACTCCCAAGTTTCAGTTTATCTTCCCCAACCCTTATTATTGGCACTGGGAATCGAACTCAGGACCTTGCATTTGCCAGGCAGGTGTGGCGCCACTGAGCTACATCTCTGGCTCTGGTTGTCTTTTTCATTATAGCCCTTTTGCTGAGTGTGAAATGATCAGCATATTCATTTATAGGTAAGAAAACTAAGGGCACATTACTTGCCAAAATTTGTAGAGTCAGTAAATGGCCAAGCTGGAACATTTTTAAAGCCAGCACTTGTACGACACATACTTTTGGGAGGCAGTAAGACTTTTGCTGTAATTGAGCCTTTTAATCTTTACAACTGTGTTTAAGGTGGATACCACCAGTTTCAGATTTTGAACATTTGGGATTAGGGATACTCATCTAATCAAGTCTCTGCAAATATCACCAAATCCAAAACCCTCTGAAATCTGAAACACTTCTCTTCTTGAGTATTTTGGATGAAGAATGCTCAGCCTGTCTTAGCATCTTCATTTGTAAATGGATACAGGGCGAGTCCTGGGCTCAGAGCGAGACTGTGAGGCCCACAGGGTGCAACCTGGAAGGTGACATCACTCTCAAGTTCCAGTCAGCACCCGCAGGACCCTGAGAGCACCCCCCACATGATGAGCCCAAGGGGTTCCACTGGCAGCAGCCTAGTTCTGGCCCTGGTAGGAGGAACTGAGGGAAGCAAAGATTGAGTACCTTTCTCAGAGTTTCCGAATTAGTCTGTGACAGAGCTGGGAGTCAGACCCCAGGATCCTGGCCTTGAGGTCTACATTGTGAAGCACACTGTACAATCTGTTGACCTGCACCTCTCTGCTCTCTGAACTGTGCCTTTTCTATTGCTTTCTCAAGGCCTGACTTTTGGAAATTAGCCAGAATTTTGACAAGTAGGGACCCTGAGGTAAAATTCCATTGCTGGGTTTTGGGAGACTGAGCAGAATGAATCAACTTAACAGGCCCCTGGGCATCCACTGTGTGCCCACACGGTCCCACTCAGCCACATCTGTGCTCACTGTCACAACTCTATATAAATCTGCCCCATTCTACAGAAGCCCCCAGCAAGTGGTCAGATGGACTCTGTCCTGTTGCAGAAGAGGCCACTCTGAACCACCAGGATTATTTGCTCTGACCAGTTATAGGAAAACAAGCATTCTCCTGGCCCAGTGGGAAGGAACCTGTCACTCATCCAAGTGTACTGGGTCAAGGATGCAGAAGTCAAATCTCTCCTAATCGTACCTTGTTTGGTTGCTTATTCTTTTTAGTCTGTTTATCAGAATTAACTGGTTGTTTGCTTTCGAACCATCATCTTTCCAATGATGTTGCTATTTCAGTAGATTTTCATTGGTTTTCAGATTTGGGCAATGTGAATTCATAAGTAGACATTTCTGCATAGACACAGAATGCTGGGCAGCCTCGGGGAAGACACTTACGCAAGTCATGCACCAGTGCCAGGTTCTTCTCTGCTCCCCAAGAGTGAGATCAAGTCCACCTGGCTCATCAGTGCCTACTGCTGAGCAACAGTGGAGCAGCCTGTCCTGGGCAAGCAGATCTTTTAGATGTGTTACAAACTCAGAGTTTTGTTTTAATCTCATTGTTATTTCTCTTCACTAAAAATGGTGCTTTTTGGGCCGGGGATTTAGCTCAGTGGCTCCATTGCCTGCCTTGCAACCGCAAGGTCCCGAGTTTGATCCCTGGTACCAAAAAAAACCCCAAGAAAAACCCAGTACTTTTTGCTGTGGAATTTTGACCTTTTGGGTTGGAACTTCAGTTCTGTTCTGTGACTCTGTTCTTCAAAGCTGTGCGTCCGTGAGTCAGAGGATTGGCATTGCCTAGGAGCTTGTTGGAAGTGCAGAATTCAGGCCCCACCCCGGACCTCCTATAAGTCAGAATCTACTGCTTAACAAGGTCCCAGGCAATTCGGGCTCCATCTCCTTTCTCTGTTATCTTCAGCTAAGGTCTCCACTGAGAACTTAGCTTGAGGCTAGATTTTTTGGTAGGCAGTCAGATCTTAAAAACATACGCACACAGAAATTCCTTCCTTTGCCTTTGCATGATGTCATTCATTTTACCTGGCCCACCACAAGAAAGAAAAAAGCAAATCACATCCAAGTTATAAGACTACTTAATTGCATCTGTTAAAGTCTCCATTATTAATAGAGTCCCAGGTATTGCCAGGATTAATTGAGAAATAGCTTCAGGCAAAATAAACACTGCAGCTGGGCTTTAATTCAAAACCATATCAGCTAAGAATGAGGGCGCAATTAGTGATAAAGATGTTAATAATTAGTCACACTGTGTTAAGTTTTACATTCAGTGATTATATAGAGTGAAGAAAGACTTTCCTCAGGAGGGCAGAAATCAACATTTCACCTTGATTGCTATTTTAATGTGCTTATTTTAATGGGGCCATCCTGTGGAAACCCGTGGGCACATTTCCAGTTTTACAGAAATGTAGAATTAATTATTATGGAAGCATATAATTTTAGAGTTGGAGCAACCTTGGCGGTCATTTCATCTAGTTCAGTCATTTTGCAAATGAATAAGTCAGATGACTCAAGTCCTTCCACAGAGCGCAGGAACCCAGGCTTCCCAACTGCCAGACCAGAGATGGTGACACTTTTTCAGATCCCTCCAGATGGAAGGGCTTTTTCTCGCCTCAGAATTCTAAAAGCACATTTATTATATTTCCTTCACTCCATGTTATGTCCTCGTTGCTTTCAGTTGTAAGGCTGGGGTCTTGGGAACCACGTCTGATTCACTTTTGTATTTTTTTTTTAACCATTCCTACCTCTGTACTTTGCAAACAGTAGTTGCACAAAAAATTGCTATGCAGTGCAGTTCTGGGGCTGCTTTTTACCTGTCTGGTAGAGTTATTACGCCTTCATCTTGGCTAAAAACTGGCCATGGTGGGCGTATTTATACCATGAAAATGAGCAAATGCCTTAGTCAGGGTTCCCCCCACCCCAGTAGACTATTTGTCAGACATTCACTGGCACATCACTGTTGACCTGACTTTGATAAAGATCCATACCAATACGAAGGTGACCATTCACCTGTCACTAAGCGTGGGTTGCCTCAACAATGACGGAGTAGCTGGTAGGGGTCAGATCAGTGCATGCCAATCCTGAGGACTGCGTTGGATTTTGGCTGCTCAGTTAATTTCCACTTACTTGAAAAGCTCTTTGGGCATAAATGGTAATGGAAACAGGGTCTGAACTATCAGGCACAGTTGAGTGAGAAAAAAATATAATGTGAGAAAAAAGTGAACAAGAAAGTTCCAGTGGCTGAAACTGCAATAGCTTTATATTTCTCAAAAAATGTTCCATAGCTTCCTGTGACCTACAGAAATGCCTGAACTCCCCCACGTAGGAAGCACACACTGACCCCAGCTTACTGTCCTGACCTCATTTCCAGCCCCTCCTGTCATCCACTGTCTCCCACCATTGAGTCTCAACTCCATTTTGCTCCAGGCCCCCACGGCATTACCTGCTTCTGGGACCGCCCCCGCCCCGGGCCACCACAGGCTCTCTCCCAAGCCTCTCTTCCCGCCTCGTCCCCTGTAGCATGGGCCAGAGTTTCTGAGTTAACACGAGAATTCCTATGACTTCATCTCCTCTCTTGTGTGTCTGTCTTCAGGAGCAGGACCCAGGGTCCCATTGGCCCTGGCAAGTATGGCTATGGCAAGGCCCCGTACATCTTACCACTGCAGACGGACACCACCCACATGCCACAGAGGCTGCGAAGACAGAGGCCCTCATCCCGGCCATCCCGGTCCCAGGGGGCATCTGCTGTCAGACATGGCTACCGCCTGCCAGCCCACCAGCTCCCCGCCCATGGGCCTCTGTACCAAAGCGAAAATGGCCCTCGCTCTAGACTGCAGGCCTCGGAGGCCTCCATCTACCAGCTACCTTTGACCCATGACCAAGGCTTCCCTGCAGCTTCAAGTCTCTTCCACAGCCCAGAAACAAGCAACAGCCATGGCGTGGGGGCCAACAGGGCGGATCCGAGCTTCTCACAGCCCCTGCGATCTGCAGCTATCTCGTGCATTGGGGCCTATCGACAGTACAAGCTGTGCAACACCAATGTGAGTACACACCAGCCCAGACTGGGCCTGCAGACACCTGTCCTGCTTCCTGTCTGTCTGCTGGCCCTGAGCAGGTGGAAGACAGTTGAGGGCAGGGGGACTACAGACGGATCTTGTCAACAGAACTCTTTACACCAGTGCAGTCATACAGTCTTTAAAATATTGAAGTAGCTTCCTCTGTCTCTTTTCTTTCCATGCATTCTCCCTGTTTACTTTTTTGTAAGGTTATTGCTTTAGTAACTTATGCATTGCTTATGGATAACTTATCAATAATCACTTCATAATGATGTTAGCCATTGCTGTGTCACAAGCCACCCAGTTCTTTGCTCATGAGTCAGCAGTTGGGCTGATTTAGGGCAAACTGTGATGCCAATGAAGTGGGTGTTTGGGGAGGGTACCATTGAGTTTCTCCAAGGCTCCCTGCTCCTGCTGTTCCAGGTGTAACCTAAACACATGAGGTATTGAATCATGAAGGAGTCTGACAAGACGAAATGAAGACTCTCCCTGTCCTTGTCTTAGGGGAGGAGCTGGAATGGCTGGGGTGAGAGAAAACGCTTGGAGCTCTCCAGGAGACAGTTATTTACTAACTGGTGTGGGAGAATTTCAGTATTTTACGACCTTGTGTAGTGCACTGGTGTATATAGGCTGAATACCACTTTGGATAATAGTTCAATAAATATTTGATTCCATCTTCATGCATTTTAATAATATACAGTACTTTTATTAAAAACTCAGGACAAGACATGCCTTGTGCTCAGCACTTCTCTTACTTATACCATTTAATCCTCTCCTTAACCTGTGGGTTTTCTCCTCTCCCCATTTTATACTTGCAGAGAGGTTAAATAACTTATGGAAGATTCCAAGCTAGTGAGTGGTAGAATAAATTACCAATGTAAACTATATCACGCTACCAAACGTGTTGTTTTTAATACCAATTTAACGACCATGTATAGCAGAGAAGGGAATGAGAAAATGTTAAGAGGTTAAATTTCCAAGTTGCTCTATTTTTTCATTAATAATTTAATCTGCCTTACTACTCTGTTACTGGGCAGCAGGACAGCTGTTACATATTAGATTCAATTTACGTATTAAAAATATATTTCCTGGTATAGAATCCATAGAAATGACTTAATTTGTGATCTTAATAATTCCTCCAAATGTCTGGATTGCTCTTTCTTCCGCTGACAGACTTCAGAAATTATTCATATCTATAAAGCAGTAGTTTTTCTTTTAGTTGGGTTCTCCCCGTTTACATTTAATTTCTTGTCATACCAGATGGGTTCATTCTGCTTTGCTTCCTGGGGTTGTGATCCTCAATGTCTGTTCCTAGAATATTGTGTAAAATTCTTTGGAGTGTTGGTTTGGTATTCATGAAGTTCCTAAGGTGCTCTTTGTCATGAAAGTATCTTATTTCTCCATCCATTTTGAAAGATAGTTTTGCAGGAAGCAGTAGTTTTTCTAAAGCCATTACTAATTGGTCAAGCAAAAGTCTTAATTGAGTATCACTGCTGGTCTAGTAAAATGCTAGGTGCTATGGAAGGTAAAAGAAGTACATTATCTACTAAGGATCAAATGAAGTGAAGTTTAAATAGTGCTGTGTAAATTGAAAAGTAAGGAATCGCTTGCATACATGATCATACATGCCTTGTTCTTAAATACTCGTTTCTCTTCTGTTAAAATGAAATGAATTGTATTCCCCTGTTGACTGGTACATTGCTTAATTCTGAAAACCAAGAAAAACGTAATAGAAAGGAAATGAGAGAGCACATTTGGCCTGCATATACAGCTGGCATCTGCTTAGCATTTCTTTCGTTAACTTGCATTTTTAAAGCATGCATTTTGTGTGTGGGGGGGGAGTTAAAACAGGATGGCATTGTGTAGTTCAGGGTGGCCTTGAAGTCACCATCCTCCTGCCTCAGCTCCCTGAGCGCTGGGATCACAGGTGTGCGCCACCTCGCCTGGCTCAAGTATGCATTTTTTACTACTAGAACCATGCTGCCCACCACAGGCCAGTTCTGCCCATGGATAAGGGCACTGGGTGTGGCTGGGGTCACTGCAACATGGAGGAGACTGACTCACAAGGAATCGTGGGAAATACCTGTGAGTTCATGATGTCCTCTGGCATTTTGAGAGTAGGTAAAACAACATATCCAACCCAAAGAAGTAGAGATTTAGTTCCCTTCTTCTCAGTGTGACATTTTGGACAGTGTCCTTCCTGATGCACCCATTGCCCTAGGCCCACATTCTAATTGCCCCTCCTGAGAGGCATCATTCCTTAGGGTTCCCACGATTGGACATCTTTTGATAATCCCACAACTTCTCGTGACTTGGGCCACATCCCATGAACACTGTAAAACTCCCTCCTGTCAGGCAGTCTCCCCAGCCACTCCTGGGTATGATGATTCTGGAGAAGACTTGGCATAGTCACACTCGTGGCTGTAACTCGTTCTAGTGAAAAGACCCATAGCAGAATCAGCCATGAGAAAGGCTTGTGCGACCAAGTCCAGAGGAAGCAGGTTCCCAAGAGTCCTCTACCGGTGGGGTAACCCAGGACAGGCATCGTTCCTCCAGAAGTGAGTTGTTACCATCTGTGTGAAACGACTCCCCTTTGGTCTTCTGTGTTAACTGTCCTTGAACTTGCAATCTTCCTGCCTCAGCCTCCTGAATGCTGGGATTACAGGTGTGTGCCACGAGTCCTTTCCCTTTGCCCAATGATAAAAGTGGATTGCCGAGCCACTAGACATTTCAGCTGTGTGTAGCTTCAATGCAGTCACCCTTGAGCCAGAATTTTAAAGTGATGGAAGTGAAACTATAGAGAACTACCCACATGCTAGTGAATTTTCCACATTCTCCACCGTGTGTTAAAGATTAAACACTGCCTTATCACCGTGGCACCAGGGAATTCTAGCATGATAGCACATCCTCAGGACTGTGTGATTCAAGTACGATGTCCTGTCTGCAGCACTACCAATTCAGTGAAGACATTTAGTGCTGATGATTTCTGAATGTAGACTTTAAAGATAAGGAAAGCCTTATTTACTTACTTAGCTTACACTGTGTAAGAAGCAGCTGAGGTGACAACCTTGATAGAGAATCTGGTCTTTTTGAACGAGTCTCAGTCCTAGCCATCTATTAGTATGACTCTGTCCCTCAGCCTGTCTTCGCTGCAGGCCAGACTACCTGGTCCAGACTCTGCAGGAGTCACTACTGCAGGTCCACAGCATGGGCTCTGATTAGGGGGTCAGGTGTTAGGATCTGGGTCAGGGATGCTGAGATTAGCAGCTCAGAGTCCAGTGGGAGATGTGGACTCCTAAAGAGGTGGTAACAGTGTGGGTGACATATGCCACGTAGGCACTATTGTTTATTGTTTTGGTTTGGTTTTTGTTGTGCTGGGGAAGCAACCCAGGGCCATAGGCATGCTGAGCAGGTGCTCCTCTACTGAGCCCCTCTTCCAGCTTGTCTTTTTGAAATTCCTAGATGGTGAGTCAAGCTAGGTTGGGTGGACTCAGCAAAAGAATCCTGCAGACGTCCAGATTACCCAGGTAGGGAGAGGATTTTTAGGAAGAGGAAGTGAGTGCCCTGGTGCTCTGGGACCTCAGTGGACTCAGATGCCTTTCCAAGGAGCAAAGGCTTCACCTGTGTCGTCCTCAGCCAGGGAGGACCAGCACTGAAGGGCCAGTTTGATTTATCTGCAGCCCCAAACCTGCCCAGTATGCTAAGCTTAATGAGGACTCACGGAATCAAGTCAATAGTTAGCTTTGTGTTTATAGAAACTCACTGAAGCTCAAGGCTTGGGAAATAGAGCTTTAGGGGACCGGGAAGCCAGACCTCAGTCCCTCTGATGCCTGAGGGGATGCACTTTAAAAACTCCTTTTCTATTACTTATTTCTGAGGTTTACAGTGTTATTTGCTAAATGCATCAACTCACGAAGACACCTTACACACTTTGTCCCTGGGCCTGGGTGTCTCTCTCCTTTGCCTTCTCCGAAGCACTCTGAGTTCAGCTCCTTTTCCTGAGAGGAGGCTGATGTGCTGGCCCCTCTGGAAGGGGTGGGCTGAAGCTCATCACTTGTTTGAGGCAGGGACGGGGTTATGAGTTTTCATGGGGCTTTGCTGCTGAGGGAACCGTGATCCCACCTTTAGACAGAGTGCACTTAACCTTGTGAGGGGAAGGACCCCTGGGGCTGAAAGAAGCTTTTAGCAAACACAGATGTGATGATCACTGACTCTCACACTCATTTCTCCCGGGCGGGACTGGCTTCTGAGGATGGATTTAGCTAGGTGGAGTTGTTTCTGCCTCAGAGTAAGTGACAGGAAAGGGAAGATGTTGGCCAAGTCTCAGATGTACCTGAGTGTGCTCTCTATACACAGATTCAAATTCTGCCCCCTCTCTAGTCTGATGTTGAACGGAAGAGGCACTGACAAACAACTTCCTGGCAGCAGTTTGCAGAAAAAACTTAGAAAATGAGCCAGGTAAGAGTTCAGTGCAGTTCTTCTGTAAGTTGTAAAGCCTGCCTGGAGCTGGGGGCCCAGTTTCTGCCTGGACAGGTCATCTGACTGGGGCACCACAAAAGAGCCTCATCTTACAAGCTTATCCCGGCCTCCTTAGCCAGGGAGTAAGCGCAGGTGTCAGTGCTGTGGCCACTCAGCTTCCCGTTGTCTCAGACTGCTTGGAATTTCCATAGTAAGTTCTTCTATTGTGTTTTCGTATATATGATACAAGTTGTGATCGAAAAATACATGAATTGTGTATAAATTTTTTTAAAATTTACTACAATAAAAGATACTTTGCCATGAATATTTCTTAAAATTCCCCTCCTTGCTTCAAACACATTTATCCCATTGTTTCTTGCCACTTTCTGAAGCAGATCTGCAAGTTCTCTTTTGTGAGGCTCTTTAATTGCTCTGTCATGGTTGCCTCAGTTTCCTGAAATGATTCAAAACATTTACCTTTCATGATCATTTTGACTTTGGAGAAGAGCCAGAAGTCACAAGGTGCC